TACAGTTTTGTTGATATAAGCCCGCACTCATATTTCATCAGCATCAGTTTCATGTAAGTTTATATTTAGACAGATGTTGAAGTCAAGAATTGTATTTTGCAAAGTGGTTAATAAAACATCGTTTTATTTAGCGAACAATGTGTCGTGAGGTTAATTCAGGCAACATGAAACAGCGAAACAGTTTTGCTTCTTTTGCTTCTTAAATAGTAAATCGACCGGCTGGAATTGAAATCAGAGTGATACTTCAATACGCTGGATGTATATAAATATATTTCCTCTGACCTGTGTGAAGCTTACAATAGGACTGGAGAATTCAAAAGGTGTATATGCCCGTAAGGGCCTGTTTACAAGGAGACAGGGTTACATTAGCAAGCGGGTTACCCTAGCAAGCGGGTTACCTTAACACTCACACATTTCCCTTTTTTTTCTTCGTCGTGTTTACAAGGCAGCCAGGGTTACCCGGGTAGGCGGGTTACCTTATCTGCGTGCTAGGGTTACCCTGGCAGGCGGGTTAACTTTTTCCCTTGTAAACACTCCAGGTAGGGTTAACTCGCCCACCCGGGTTAACTTTCTAATTGTTTCCAGACCTTTTGAGTGTAACCGCGCATTAAGTTGTCCCGGGTTGTAGGGTTACCCTTCCTGTGAAATTTTGCTTGTAAACCCGGGCTATCTTTTGCCCTCCAGCTAGGGTTAACCCGCTTGCTAGGGTGACCCTTTCTTCTTGTAAACAGGCCCTAAGTGTGTGGTTAGCGATGACCTTTCTTTCGCTTAAGTAGAGATCGACAAAAATTATTCCATGACTCTACCCTGATGGAAAAGTTTGTGTCACAGGTTGTCACGTGACCAGCCGCAACCGGGGTCCTTCTTGGGTCTTTCTGGTTTGGTCTTCTTCCAACGACCAAGGGAGGCAGAGAAGAGAGAGCCTGTGAATGAGGTTGTTTCAAGACGACAGAGTCCCCCGGGAAGAGAGTTCTCGGACTTCCCGGACTGGGCTGTGACATCGTTAGCTCTTTAATAATTATTAGGGTAACCTGGGACATGATACATACTTTATAGAATTAACAAATTGGTAGTCACCTCTCCAGTGGTTAGGGTCTCCCAGGGGGTTTGGTGAACAAGGGAACATAATCAATAATTTTCAAGGGAAAGGGAACCTGCTTTTCACCGCCCCAGAGGCCCTCAGTGTAGTGATTACGAGTCTCACTTCTGACCTGCCAATCCCGGGTTCGACACTGGCCCGTTCTTTTTCTCTTTCACTTTGTTCCAAAACAATTTTAAGTGCCACCAGGAGTCCAACAGCTCAAGAAGTTTTCTCTCGCCGTCCAGTTTGAAAAACAGAGCAGACCCTGGGAACGAAGTTGTATTGTTTGCCGACATGTAGTGACCCAGAAATCACAGCGGTAACTCACTTGATGCTTTTCCGTGTGACGGTGAAAGACTTGAAAAAGCGAGAGATTTTCAATAGACCTCTTAATTAAGGGCCCATTAACAGATCTTTTCGAGCCGTTGCTAACGCAAATTTATTCTCATATAACCTCATTTTTAGTTAGTTCTGTGTTTTAACTTTTTCATGATCAGTAACACTAGTGATGACGTCATCAGGCCACGCCCATGTTCATGTGACTAATACTGAAAAAATGCAAAGGCTCCCAGGCAAATTACTTTATCGGGATTTTTTTCATTGATTTAATATTTTAATTTAAATCCTCATTACNAGAAACCGGAAGTGCTCCCGATATATATTGGAAGTTACCCTATCAGCGCGTGCGCAATTTACACTACCAGCGCACTTCGGTAAGATCAGACGAAACCACGAGGAGTTAGTTTTTCTTTCTGTTGCTCTTGTTTTTGTCTTTCTCTTATTTTGTCTTTGATTGTACTTTTTTTACTTTGCATTTTGTGAAACATAAAGAAAAACATCTAAAATGTAAGCGAATTTGGAAGTTATTGAGTTGTTTTTATTTTCCGCGCTCAGGCTGACATAAGTAACCGGAAGTGAAATTTCACCTTCTTAGCAACGCGTGCGAGCGCGCGCATAAATCGGTTAACGGGCCCTTAAGCTCGTGAAGTTTGTTGCCCCCATGCGAGGATACTCTTGAGAATGCTAGCTTTGAAATTTTCAAATAGTCATGTGTATATGAAAGAAAAATTTTCAGACGAATAAAAGAACAATTCCCTATGGAATATCACCTGGTCTGTAATGAGAAAACAAACCGCCCAGGCTAAAAAGGTCTATTCGTCAACTTTTGAAATGTATTGGAAGTGGTTTTTATTTCAATTTTTCGCAATTCTGCGCGCCGTTTTTTTTCTTTGGTGGCAATCGCACTAAATGCCTCTACATTTACCCGTACTCTGATGAGCGGTGAAACACGGGCGAGCTTTTAGCAGGCGCACATTTCGCCTTCATCATCAGCGTCTCTTCAAGTGGCCTATTCAAGGATCTTGTTTGAGAGCGGAAAAGCGGGCGAAAGGGAGCAAGGCAAGGGGAAAAACGAGAGGAACAGGGAAAGAACCCGGGAGAAATAGTCAAACCTCTCCCAACACCGGCCATCTTGGAGACAGAGGTAAGTGGGCCGTTGTAGAGGTGGCCATTGTGGGAGTCAGTGGGCTAATATGATAATCTGTTTTGTTTGGCTTTTTTTTCGCGGAAGAAGAAAAGGATAGCAGAAGATAGAGGGTAAGTAAGGACCAATAAGATAGCTATGTACAAAATCTAACTCCGTAAGAGGGAAAACATAATAAAAATCACTATTTACGGTACATACAATTTCGTTACGAAATGGTTACGAAACTTACACATAGTGGAAAGACGCTTGGGCCTATTCTTGAACGTTTTTGGTTCTTTTGGAAAAGACCGCACCACCAAGGAGCAGAATACTTGGAACACACATCAAACACGAGAGACAGTGTTTCATGGGGTTATCCAAATACTGTGAAGAGAATTGAAAACACGACGCGCAGCGGAGTATTTTTGACAAAATTGGATATGATATATCTTCTCAATCAAAACAAAAACCAAGGAGTAAACGAAGAAAAATCGTCAAAATCTATGCTAATTAAGACCGGGTATCAAAACCTATCTGAGGATATCTGAACACTCAAATCTAAACGCTCAAGAGAATGATTAGACTTCAGACCCTCTGCGAGAGCAATAGCGACTGAAGAGTTGATCGACGTATTATGCAAATCCAAACGGGTCAACTGAGTACCACTCGATTGAAGAGCCTTTGCAAAGGCTAACGCTCCTGAATTGCCGAAGTGAACTTTGTTTGATATCAGCATACCTCTTAGATAAAAATGAGTAAGAGTGTAGTTTGATTGGAGGGCCCGTCCAAGCGCTGTTGCTGCTGAGTCATTGACATGATTGCCCTGAAGATCCAAGTAAGTCAGTGAACAATTAGACTGAAGTGCGTGTGCTATTGCTAATGCCCCCGATTCACCAATACAGTCAGAACGAACGTCATCAAAATCAGAGGAGGGCCGCAAAAAATCTGATATTCCTTCCATCATCTCTGCATAATTACCCACATTTAAATAGGTTAAGGTATGGTTGGACTCCAAAACGTGAGCAAGAGCTACGGCTCCTCGGTCGCCGATCCAGTTACAGCTTAGATCCAAATGCTTCAACACATTATTTGACTGGAGGCCTTTTGCCAAAGCTTCTGCTCCAATATGGCGTATCTTATTAGCATGTAGATTTATATGTGTCAGAGTACGATTTGATTCAAGAACTTCTCCTAGTGCTTTAGCTCCTGAAATGCGGACCCTGGCATATCGCAGATTCAGGTGAGTTAACGTGCGATTCGACTGAAGAGCTGGTGTAAGTGATGTGCTGTTTAAGTCAGTCCGCAGATGTAAGCCTACCAGCCTCTGACTTGTCTGAAGGACATGCTTAATTGTTCCCAGTGCTAACTCATCAAAGTTACGGTACCAAAGTAACTCCGTCAGTGCGAAATTTTCTTTCAGGTATTCACAGAGAACGAGGATGTTGGGAGAACCGTAGTTATGTACGCACACTTTAAACACAGCAAAACACCGTACAAGTGTGCGTATCATTTTCTTCTGGTAATCCTTCAGCTCGTTTCTCCCATCTCCACAATCAGTAATAAGGTTACATATTCCAGTTAAAAAGTCATTTTCCGTTGTATCTTCCGTTGCCTTAATTTCGGAATACAATCGCCAGTCGAAAGAATCATCTTTACAAATGTCAACCTCAAAACTGTCGCCATCGCCACCGCTGTCCTCGTCACTGTCCGCAACACCATCGTCCTCAAAGTCCTCGTCGTCCTCGTAGGATCTCATCCATATGTCGTCCTCGAAGTAGTCGTCGAAACCACAGTCACCACCGCTATTGTCGCTATCTTCTCCTTCCTCGCTTTCTTCCCCCTCTGTCCAACTCACTGCAGGAAGTAAATTGATTTGCGTATCAAGTTGAAAGGAGGCGCAAAGACGGGACACGAGAAAAACTGCTATATCATCACTCTTACTTGCTACCGTTGTGATGAGAAATCCCCACACCTGCCAATACTTGTCAACAGGACTGAGCTGATCTAGCAGAGTGTCGCTTTCTTTGTCTCCTTTTAACAGTTGATGGGCCAAGTGGTACGCCGCAAAATATTCCTGAAAGGTCTTATGGGTAAACGAATAACTCGGGTTTGGCCTGATTTTACTCACACTAGCCTCTCGAGAAAGAAAACCGAATTCTAGGAATTCCGTTGATTGGCATTTCAACTCGTCTCCAGTGAAATACGCTTGATCATTCAGTAGAGCTTCCAGGGCCATCTTTCCCAGCAAACTGAGTTGGTCTGCAAATGCCTCGATGGGATCATCATTGTTCTGCAAAGAAACCTCCTTCTTTGCACAATATCTTCTCAAAGCACAAGAAACAAGTTCGTCATACAACTTGCTTCTGTTTGAAGGGAACTTTCCTTCTGATTCTTCACAAACAAGGCACAGCAGAGCTGTGTTAAGTGGATTAGCAGTCAATTCCCTCAGCTGTGGACTCCTGTTCAATTTCTTGATCATTTTCTTTGCAAGGCTCGGATTCTCGTGATTGCTGAAATACTTCTCGATGTAGCTTTCAGCATCTTGATTGGTGTAGCCAACAATGTCAAAAAGTGAGTCACAGTATCGCCGTACCACCGTTCCTGCCTCGTGTCGAGCTGTCAACATTAAATAAGTATTGGATAAAACTTTGCCTTTAATCAAGGGTAGGATACCCTGCGACAGATCGTGACGCAATTCATCCAATCCATCAAGAACCAATAAGATTCTAGATTGATTACGGCGAATGAACTCGAAGAAGTTTTCCTTCTCCTTCTTGTCTGCATCATGTGGTAGCAGCTGATCATTGATAGCTTCCTCGATGTTAGCAGTCTTCATGTCGCGGCACTTCAGAAGGAGAAGAATCTCCACTTTGGGAAACGAAGCTGCAGGTGGAATTCCCGCCACGGACCAATCATATGCAAGCTTCTGACAGTAAGTGGTTTTACCCATTCCAGGCTGCCCTTCAATCAGCACCACTCTCGGTTTGTCACATTCTTTATGTGGTGCGAAGACATCCGTCATATTTACGATGTTGTCCGTTTGCCTCGCGCGTTCTTTTTTCTTACTGATTATCACTAATCTTGTGAAGATGTTCGACAGTTCCAGTTGAAGCTCATCCTCGCACCATGGAAACGGACAAAGAACAGCACCTTTGTAGTCTCGTTTGATAAGCTCTACAAGTTTCTCTGGACACGCTAGAAAAACAAATAACCGCGTAATAAAAACACAAGTCTAGCAGTTCTCACAATAAATAAAATAAACACAAAGAGTACATATAAATTACTTCGGTCTCGCAAAGATAAACAGGTCCGCTAGTTAGTCCGTTAGCTAACTCCTCCACTCTTTACGATGCAACGTTACAGAACAAATAGAAAAACTGCATCTAAGGTGAGCCAGTTGCGCTCGATATTGTAACTTTAATTAAGGGTAATGTCAATGACTTTAAGGGGACTGTCAATGGACGGAAGAACGAACGAACGAATAAATGAAGCTTGGTTACCGTCACCTTAAAGGGCATGTACTACAAACCGAGACCTAATGCCATACAACTGAATTCATTGTTTAATTCAGTGCTATGCTCTATAAAATGTATGCAGACACCCACAGAAATGGAAAGTCTTAACTGAAAAATCCAAAGAAAAGCAGAACTTGACACATACCAAAGAAATATTACACACTTATTTTGCTGCAACGTAATAGGAAAATTACTGGAAATACATATGTCACTGCAAATCTTACTGAACTTACAAAATCTTCCGTGTACATTGTTAGAATAAAACACTTGTAGAGTAGAATTGTGACAAACTTACCAGTTGGCATGGAATTGTCTTGACGCAACGCAGTTTCATTGCATTTTGTCAAGTCTTCCACTTGTTCTATAAGTGGGTAGCCAGAAAAAAAAACATAATTATTCTTACACAAATAAATATTAGGTGAATACATTTCATGGACCTAGCTATTACCAACCAAGTAATCTGAATTGAATTTGAACACAACACAGATGTCCATGTTTTTCGTGTGGATTGCAAGATTCCGTGTTCACCCCTAACACAGTCGAGGGAATAATAAGCCAGTTGGTGGTAAAATCCCTTCACCAAGAATAATGAAATCAATCAATCAAGAATGGATTGCGCTGGCAGTTCAGTTTTTGTTTAAAATTTAGTTCCTAAGTAACATAAACTGTCCTCATCGTGTCACACTGACGTGACATTTTTCAGAGCACTTTTAATTGTCTTTGCTATTTTTTAATTGGATATTAATAGTATACTCTTTGAGTAATTCAATGAATGTTTGCCAAATATGGCTCTGAGTGAGATGCCAATGTTCTGTGGTTGCACAACAATACTACACACAGTGGTGGCAAAATTTGTGAACTGGCATCTATTAGATCAGACTAAGAAATGTACCAAAGAGAACAGAACCTAGACCCTAATCCATTGCTTGGTAGGTTAGGGTATGGTCAGTGTGAGTGGGAGCGGTTAAAACATGATCAATGTATATTCCTCTCACATTCTGAAGAAATTTAAAATTGTAATTCTAAATTGATTTTGCAACAAAAAATCTCATTTAATTACATTACTGAATCACCTTGAAGACGATGTACTTTGTCTTCTGTACTCTGCTTACTGCTCTCAAGTCTCTCTATCCTCTGGTTTGCTGCCCCTGCATTACACATAAAAGTTACAAAATGTCAACATAATATATAAAAGCACACTTGCAGCCTATCAAACAACTACAGTCGGAGCTCTCGTAAACAAACACCTCAGAAATTTGAAAAAGTGGTCGTAACTAGAGATGGTTGCTTACAAGAATGAGCTTTCGGAAGCCTTAGCGGCCGCATGGTAAGACAATATGAATAAAGAAAAAGCAAAAGAAATTAATGTTTAATGAGTGTTTTTATATCTGATATAGACACGGCTAAACTTTACATTCACTTTTTTAGACTAAAATAACCATTAGCACAGAGTGCGTTGATTATATATTTGTAAAAGACTCTGAGTGGTCGCTTACAAGAGCTTAAAAACAAAGGAAAAGTCCAGTTGGGTAATCCCAAAAGTGGTTGCGGTCGCTTATGGGAGTGGTCACTAACGGGAGCTTTTCATCGCAAAGTTCAAGTCACAATTCAAACAGGGTCTCACAAAGGTGGTTGTAACTAGAGCTGGTTGCTTACGAGAGTGGTCACAAAGAGAGCTTTGACTGTAACAGTTTTTTTAAAAACAGGTTCAAAATTACACTTATTTTTTATTTGAAACAATACAACTATTGCTGAAAGAAACTAAATAAACAAAACAAGCTTTGCCAAGTAAATAATCTTTTATCTGATGTTTTCCCTTTAACAAGGCGTGTAAAATTAACAAATGACATGCAAGAGTTCATTTACCCCCTTTGGGCTAGTTCAACCTCAAAGGAATTAATTGTACAACATACACTCCATGTATCAGATTAAGCAGTTTTGTGTTTCAGTTTGAGTCAGTTTCACACATTTGGTTTAGTGCTGGACTATTTTGTCTCTTCCCACCCACCCACACATCCTGGGTATTTGTTTTTTTTTTAATTCTTGTAACCTCATTTAATTACTTTAATCACCTTGAAGAAGATACACTTTGTCTTCTGTGCTCTGCTTACTGCTCTCAAGTCTCTCTATCCTCTGGTTTACTGCCCCTGCATTACACATAAAAGTTACAAAATGTAAACATGATATATAAAAGCACACTTGCAGCCCATCAAACAAATAACAGTTTTTTTATAAACAGGTTCAAAATTACACCTCTTTTTTTAATTTGAAACAATAAAACTATTGCTGATAGAAACTAAATAAACCAACTAAGCTTTGCCAAGTATATATACTATTTTGTACAGGTTACTGTAGACCTTCAGGGGTGCCTTCCAGAAAATACTTTCTTTGCATGCTGCTTTAAAGAAAACCTCGATAAACTATATATCATTGTAAAGCTAATAAACTGTAGAATCCGAAAATAACAATATATTTTGGGCATTTTCGTTTTGGTAGGCACACGCAAGTCTTTTAAATGCAAAAATGACAGTACTTGCTAAACTGAATTACCAGCCATTGTGGTGCCACTGACATCTAAGCTGACTGGACTATATTACTCAGGAGATGATAGGCTAACAAACCATGCAAGGCTTTTTCGATATTTCTATTGGTTCCTTAGTAAATCCCTTTCAAAGTTGGACCAGAGAAAATTTTCTGACTGATGTTACTCAATGGGACGTTACAGAAAAATGTTCTGATTTTCGTAAAAGCCTTGCACACTTTGGTGTGCTAATATCTGACCAACATTTTGACCAAGTTTCATTGAAATCCGATAAATCTACATACCCTAATATATAGATTTAGCCAAGCCTAAAAGTGGAACTCCTGATAACAATAATTAACCATAAATGAAAAGAGGATTTTTCCCCTAGATCAGAAACTCAAAAATGGATCAATTGTGCGCATGTGATTGTTCAGCGTGTGGTTTCTTTATTTTTTTTCTAGTTACATTTTAAAAAGCCATACCTAATGAGCGTATCCAAGATTATAGAAATTACATATGCAATATATCAGGGACTTTCCAAGAGACGATTGTGCAAGGAACATGTCGGAAGAAAAGTCAGCAACACATCAGGGGATAATTTTGCCTTTGTATGTACTACCTCCCTCTCCCCCAGAGTAATAACCTGGCTTGAGCCCGCGATCCAATAAAAAACCTAGTACCTGGTCAGCAGTTAACTTCGAAAAACACGAGACCTCAATGAGCTCTTGACCTGAACCTGTGATGTGGTCACAGGATACTGGTCAGCGGATACCTTGGTTGACAGCTGTCAATTAATCATAACATGGATGTCCAATATCAAAGATGTACCTATGGTAATGGTGCTACTTTCTTATTTTTGTTTTGGCGTACAGACATACCTACGTACAAACGGACAGTCACGTGACAACCTAAAATTTTGAGATTGATGGGTTACCAAATTTTCTAAGGTATGGGGCTGTGCTCGCGCACCAGCTCCGCTATTAATAGCGAAGCGCACGAGTGACGCTATATCTTAAACAAACAAAATGGAATGGTGGAAGATTTGAAGCTTTTTCAAGTGCGTAAGCAAGTGTTCCTAAAACAATTTTTAAAACGAAAACTTGGAGTTCATTTTTCTCCTATTTCTCTCATAACTCACTTATGTTGTCTGACTCATGCCAGGTTCCAATAATTTGCATTTTTTTTTTTTTTTT